TGTCCATGACAAACCCATAAACAACAATGGGGAAGATTTATTTGACATTTGACTTGCGTTATCGCATTCATCCACAGAATAGTTTCCTACAGTGGGTTATTTCATGGTTTAATCTGTAGCTCTTTATCGCCTGTAGCGCCTCTGGCGACTATGAAATCAGTCGTTCTCGGTTAGGTTTTTAAGTGAGAGTGCCCAGGGCATGTCACAGACTACACACTATTTTTCACAGTCTTTTTTAAGAATCGTTTGACAAACGATACGCAGAAACAAGGACGAGAAGTAAAGGAGAGAGACACGGGACAGGACGCCTGGTAAGGAGGCCTGATAAGGAGTCCTGTGCCGTTCTTTTCCTGCAATCCCTGATTATTATTTCGGCAAAGAGTAATAACAGATGGCTCTGGCTGTTCGATGAGGGAGTTTTGTAATTTCGCCCCTTTAACTAGGTGCTTGTTTGGTGCTCCCGGTTATGTCGAAAGAAAAACAATTAGTGATGAACAACGCCGAAATTTACCAAACTTAATTTAACAAAATTCGTAACTTTCTATACAGAGAGGGGACTAACTTGAAACTCCCTCACCCTATAGAAAACACCTCAGGCTACAGATAGGGAAAATTACCATTCATCCTATAAAATGCTGATTTTTTCAATCTTGTGCTGCATGCAATTGCATGTTTTTCTTAAAAAAATATAGCTTTCAATGCAAACCAGGTAGCATATTAACGCTCACCTTATACTATACACTTGAAGCTACAAATCTCAAAAATGCTCCTCTAATCTTAGCAAATGGGGAGTTTTCTTATCCTGAAATTGAAGGGCCGAAATGAACATTTACATTCAACTGGAGGTTCTTGAAAAATTCGCAATTTCTAATAGAAAGCGAGGAGCAATTTGTAATTTGCTGACCGCATAGAAGACAGTCGAATTTAAAAATCCAGAAAATTAAATTTTAATCGAAGAAAATGCTCCATTTGGCCAACCATGTATTTGAAGGGTCGAAAATGAGCACTTACTTTCAAATGTAGGTTCATCTTAAAAAACGGATAACTTTCGACACAAACTAAGGAGCGACTTGCAATTTGCTCGTCGCATAGATTGACGATACTTGAAGCTAAATACACTGAAAATTTCAGTCTAATCTGATGAAATTCGGACTTTTCCTAATCCTGCAAATGAAGGGCCAAAAATAAACGTTTACATTCAACGGCGGGTTCGTCTAGAAAAATTCGCAGCTTTCAATCCAAAGCGCCCAGCACTTTAAAATTTGCTAACCGTATATAAGACACTTGTAGTCAATTATGCAGAAAATTTCACTGTAATCGCATAAAATTCTGGCTTTAGCCAATCCTGCTAATGAAGAGCTAAAAATGAACATTTACTCAACTGTAGGTTCTTAAAAAAATGTCAACTTCCAATACAAAGGGCGTAGCAATTTGGAATTTGCTCATGGTATTGGCAATAGTTGATGTGAAATATACAGAAAATTTCACTCTAATCGCATAAAACCCTGACTTTATTCAACCCTGTAAATGATGAGCCAACAATGAACATTTACACTCAACTGCAGCTTCTTCTTAAAAAATTTGCAACTTTTAGCACAACCCGCGTGGCAATTCCAAATGCGCTTACCTTATAGAGGACATTTGAACTTAAACATGCAGACAATTTCACTCTAATCGCATAAATTGCTGACTTTATCCAACCCTGTAAATGAAGGGCCAAAAATGAAAATTACACTCAACTGCAGGTTTACCGTAAGAAATTTGCGACTACCAATACAAAACGCGTAGCAATTTGAAATTCGCTCAGCCTATAGAAGATGCTTATTGCATAATCAACGCTAAAAGTTTGAAAAATTCCACCCAAATCGCATAAAATGCTGACTTTTGCTGATCCTGTAAGTGATGGGCCGAAAAATAAATATTTACCCTCAATTGCAGATCCTTCTTTAAAAATTCATAACATTCATTGCAGATCGGATAGGGATTTGAAATTGTCGCATTATAGAAGATAATTGACGTTAATATTGCGCAACAGTTCTCCCAATTTTAATGAATTCATTAAACTAAATTCCATTTATTTTAAATAAATTGGCGATAAACATTAGTGATGTGACGAAAGTGGAGGTATTTGCAATAGCGAGAATTTGGCTAATGTTGCGTTAGATTCTTTGGGACGCAAGATCAGAAACAATTTCAACAAATTAACAACAACCGTATTGATAGCCCAATCTAAGACTTTTGCAATATCGTGAAATAACATCGACTTAAATAGGGGATGGGAAAGCAATCTTGTACGCATATGTCCGCATCTCAAGTCTACATCTTAAACATATTTCTTATTCAATATTACGCTTCTGTGCAGCCTTGAGTTACCCCGCCTTCCTCAATCACTATCAAAATACAGTGACCCGATACGTTTTCACATATATGCGATATTTTTCCTTGTAACCGACTATTTGCGGTCGATTGATTGGCCAGTAATTGAGCAGGGAGATTTCCAGTTCCGTGTTTGAATGCCATAGTAAAGAGCACTTCCATTCAGCCAAGAAGCGCGGTTTTGTAAAATATTTGCGAATATGGCCTGTCCTTATAGACGCAAGTGAGTTCAAGTGTCCAGCCTAGTATTTCAAGATTAATTTGGTTTTATTTCAGCGATGGAGCTCTGGATGGAGACCAACTGGGCGAAGAGGCCGGAATGCTCTATGGGGAGTACCTGATGTTGGATAAGATCCTGGGCGCTCAAAGGCTGCTCAGTGAGAGCGACAACGCTCCAGTGCATGATGAGCATCTATTCATTATCACTCATCAAGGTATTTATTGGACAGTGAGATTTGAACTTTGTCTAGTTCTTGAGCAACAAAAACGATAACGTTCAACTAAACAAAAATGTTTTCTAGAAAAAGTTCAATTCTTGCCCTAATTCAAATTGGCTTATATGTGAGGTCAAGTACCTCCTTGTTGGATTAGCTGTATATTTCAATTTATTTTACTCTCTGAAGACGAATTGGCTGTTTAAGCAAACTTACACCATTTGCTCTTGAGTCATTAATCTCAGAGGTTTTTGTGGTCAGAATTATGCAGTTTCGACGGGGTTTAATCGGCCCTATTTTAAATTCCGCATTGCTTTTCACCGGCATTAAAACTTTCTAGACAGATTGGATGAAAGTGAGATTCCCAAGAAGTTGTTTTAGTGCACTCACGGAACTTTACAACTGCGAGAAGCAGCTAAGAAAACTTGCGGATTAATCGTTCCGATTATACTGGCCAAATTTTCCGGGAAAATTATTACTGATTCGAGCTCAATTATTTTTCTTCATCTATGTATAATCAATATATTTTTTACACCTTTCATTTCAAAAACAGCTTTAATTCCGCCACCGAATGCAAACTTACTGTAGCATTTGCCAGGCTGTAAAAGTAAAATAAAACAACTCCTCACGAAAGCCACAAAAGCAAGGCCTAATCCACTTAAGTAATTTACTCCCGACAAAAGCGGACAGTTTGTAGGACATACTGTACAGGGCGTTTGCTCATAGGTTTACTTTATTATTGCAGATTTTCCGAATCAGAAATTAAAATATGAAAGCAGTGAATGAAAACTTTTGACGTAAAGTCCGTTTTTAATGGATCATTCTATGCATTTTTAGACAGATCGATAGGATTTTTTTGCTTACTTTTTGCTAATTCCGTGAATGAAGGCCTCGGAAATGAACATTTACGCTCAACTGCAAGTTCTCCTTAAATCATTCGCACTTTCCAGTAAAGAGGACATAGCCATTTGAAATTTACTCACCGTATAGAAAGCAGTTGAAGTCAAAGATATGAAAAATTGCACTCTAATCGCATGAAAGCCATAAAATGACAAAAAAATGAACTTTTACACTCAACTACAGTTTTTTTTTAATTCACAAGTTCCAATAGAAAGCGCGTTGCAGTTTGAAATTCGCTCACTGTGCAGAAGACACTCTAGGTTAAACATGTTGAAAATTTCAACCTAATCCAATACAATTCTGACTTTTGCTAATCCTGTAAATGAAGAGTCAGAAATGAACATTTTACGCCCAATTGCAGGTTCTTCTTTTAAACATTCGTAATGCAAAATGCAGAGAAAGTTGCAATTTGAAGTTGGCTCACCATAAAGAGGACACTTAAAGATAAACATACGGGAAATTTTACTGTAATCCCATAAAATCCTGACTTTTGTCAATCCTGTTAGGTTTTTCTTAAAAATGCATAACTTTCGATACAACCCATCTAGCAAGTTGCAATTCGCTCCCCCTGTATATAACACCTGAGGCCGCATTCCGAAAAATTCTACACTAATCGTTGGAAATGCCGATTTTTTATAATCTTGTGAATAAAGGGCGAAAATTGAACATTTATAATCAACTACAGGTTCTTCTTTAAAAAAATTTGTAACTTCCAAAACAAAGCGCGTGGGAATTTGCAATTTTCTCACCATATAGAAGACACTTCAAGTTAAAGATAGTGAAATTTTCACTCTAATTGGATAAAATTCTGACTTTTGTCAATCCTTTAGCTGAAGCCCCAAAAATGAACATTTACACTCAACTGCAAGTTCTTTTTGAAAAATTCGCCTCTTCCAATACATCGCGCGTAACAATTTTTATTGCATAATTAACGATATTTAATATTTCAACCTAATGCAAGGAAATCCTGACTTTGGCCAATGCTGCAACTGAAGAACTAAAAACTTACATTTACCCCCAACAGCAGGTTATTCTTTAAAATTTTGGAACGTCCAATACAGAGAGGGTAGCAGTTTGAAATTCGCTCATCGTATAGAACACACTTGATAATAAAGATGCTAAAAATTGCAGCCTAATCTCATAAAATATAGATTTTTTATAATTCTGTAATTGAAGAACCAAAATTTACGTTCAACTGCTTGTTCTTTTTAAAAAAAATCGCAACTTAAAATGCAGAGAGCGTAACAATTTGAAATTGGCGCGCTCCATCGAAGACACTTGAAGTTAAAGCTACGGGAAATTTCATTCTAATCCCACGAAATCCTGACATTTGCCAATCCCGTACATGAATGACTAAAAATGAGCATTTTGACCTAATTGCAGGTTCTTCTTAAAAAAATCTTAACTTCTCATTCGCTCACCTTATAGAAGAGACTTGAGGTTAAAGATGCTGAAAATTGCAGCCTAATCGCATAAAATCCTCATTTTTCCTAATTCTGTAAATAAAGAGCCAAATTTTACGCTCAACTGCAGGTTCTTTTTTTTTAAATCGCAACTTGAAATGCAGAAAGCGTAACGATTTGATAATTGTAATTTGGCGCGCCCTATGGAAGACACTTGATGTTAAAGATACGGAAAATTTAATTCTAATCGCACGAAATCCTGACTTTTGCCAATCTCCTAAATGAATGACTAAAATGAGCATTTTGACCTACTTGCAGGATATTCTTTAAAAAATCGTAACTTTTAACACAAACCAGATAGCAACTTGCTATTGGCTCACCCTATAATAAACAATAAGCTGAAGTAGTAAAAACCTTCTTGGTTTCCATGGGCCGAAAATCTGGTGTTTTTTATGCTGAAAATGTCAGCAGTAGTAAATCAGCAATCATCGGACCACATAATTTTTTTTAGAAAAATTATTGTTTTCTTGGAATTGATCCATCATCAAATTTTTCACCGGTAAAACTTTGTATTCCCTTGTAGCATTACGAACAATTTTTTTCCAATTTTTAAATCTTAACTTTGACTTCAAAATACAGGGCGTATTTCGAAAACCCTTCACTTTTGTATTAGACAATTTGGGTTAAATCATCAGGTTTTCACCCGAGGAATCTGTAGTAAGATGTTGTGCAGACATTTTACATACACGCTGTATTTATTTCTGTATAAAAATATATATATAGTGTTCCATTAAAAAAAATTACTTGATGTTAGGCCTGGGTAACTCAGTGAATTTTTAGGAGTTGGCGCAGTGCTATGCTTCTTTGCGCTGCTTTGGGTTGGCTTGATGCGCCAACCCAACGCATCGGCGCAGTAACTCAGTTCCGTTGCTGGTGAAAAGTTGGCGACGTTTTTACTTGTTTTTGGATTTATTTTAAAGGCCATTTATTAGTAATATTTTTAATTATTCCTAATTCCTAAATGCTCAATTTTCTAAAATTTCACTTAAAAATTCTGAAAATCTTAAGGCATTTTCCGCGAAAAATTATGAAAAAAATTTCGATTCCTATCCTTCGCTACTTTGTAAAAAGTTTAGAAATCCCTTTCCATCTTCGAATTCGGAACAAAGATCAAATAAGAATTAAAAATCGAACAGAATAAGTGGAAGTTTATAACAGATTATTTGGAAGTCTCGTCACCTCAATACCTCTGAAGGCTGTACGAGTTTGTTAAAAAAATGTGGTGTTTTAGTTTTTGCTGAATTTTTTTTGCTTTACTTCCTACTCAAAAAAGGCTCTATTTTGTAGAGTTTCACTTAAAAATACTGACGATCTGAAGGTCTTTCACGCGAAAAATTACAAGATAAATTTATAGCTTTGTAAAAATTTTACAAAATCTTTTTTCAGCGTCGAATTCGGGACAAAAACGAAAATAAATTCCTACAGTTTTTTCTCGAAAACCATTGAGGTTTTCTCCAAAACCGATCACAAAACTGAAGGTTTTTAATCAAAAACGCAAAAAAACCCTTGTTTTCTGATAATTTTCTTCTTTTCTGACAATAAGGGGTTGTTGGAGCCAAAAATGACAAAATTGATTTTACCAGAAAATTAGCCTCATTCATCTGTTTGCAGGGAACTTTAGAAAACCCATTTCAATTCGAATTTGGCACAAAAACCAAATAATTTTATTCAGTTTTTTACCGAAACTAATTAGGATTATCATGAAAAAACGACCAGAGAGCAAAAGTTTACAAAAAATTATTTGGAAAATTCGCCGCCATCATCGCTCTGTAGATTTTTAAAGTTCCTTTAAATTTTCTATTAAGTAATTCTTTCGACGCAAAAATCGCATTATTTTTTAGTTTTATGTATTTAAAATACTGATAACCTTTAGTTATTTTCTGTGAAAAATTATAAGATACATTTTTTTGAAACACTCGCCTCCTTCATTGTTTTGCAGACATTTTTGGAAAACTTTTTGCAGCTTAGAATTATGGACAAAACCATAATAATTACTTCTGCGACTTTTCCCAAAAATATTATTAATTTCCCGAACTGAAAAAGAGAAAGTTGGGAATCATTTATTTGGAAAACTCTTGGAAACGGATGAGTTTATAACTCGTTAACTCAGAGAGCGGCAACTTCAGAGTTGAAAAATCTGAGCATCTGACGAAGACACCTTGTACCGAGCGTCCCCAATATGTGATTTTGTCTAATCCATTCCAGCTTACGAGTTGTGGTTCAAGCAGATAATCTTCGAGCTGGACTCCGTCCGGAACATTTTCAGCGAAGTTTTGGAGGAAACGCAAACCTTGGAGATCCTGAAACGGCTCAACCGAATAGTCCTGATCTTAAAGGTAAAACTGGCGAACCTACGTTAAACACTGATGAAACGAACTGAGCTTGCTTGAAACGTCCAGGTTTTGGTTGATCAAGTGATGATCCTGGAAACAATGACTCCGCTGGATTTTATGGACTTTCGCAACTACTTGCGACCCGCTTCCGGCTTTCAGAGCCTCCAGTTCCGTCTTCTGGAGAACAAATTGGGCGTTAGGGCCGATTTGCGCGTCAAGTACAACAACAACTACACGAAAGTGTTCGGCGGTGACGAGGTGCGAGCATTTCAACTTTGAGTTGGATGAATGGAAAACTTTGGGAATTTGCAGGAGGCGCTGCGTAAAATCGAGCTATCGGAGAGCCAGCCGTCTTTGGCCCTGTTGGTGGAACGTTGGCTGGAACGAACGCCTGGATTGGAAGCGACCGGCTTTAACTTCTGGGGAAAGTACGAGAAATCCGTCAACGATTTGCTAGAGGAGCAGAAACAGATTGCTTTGGTGAGTCTCTTTTTTTATACATTTTACTGAGAAGTGCTCAAGGACCCCCATTTTTTCGAGAATTTTCTATATCTTTGGCCATTTTACCAAATCGAAGGCCTTAGAATAATCGACAAAATCAAGCTACATTTTTATGCTTAATTCTCGGACGACATGGCCTTATGAGTATGAACTGTACCATTCGTCTGGGCAAATTTCAGTGTTCCAGGCAAAACAATAATTGCTGGCTGTGCTCTTGATTAAATAAATATCTCCAAACTCCAAGTTATGCGTCGCAAAAACTGATCTTTAACTGTAATCGCGTGGGTATCTGTTGCGATCCCAACTAGGACACAACAGCCCTTTAGAGGTGTAATTTGTATTTTTGGATTAAGACATAAAATTCAATAGCCGCCCGTCTAGACCCATTTGCCAGGTAGATTTTTTGCAGAAGTTAAACGTTCAGTGCCCATTCGTGTTAACTAAGCTGCGTTTCCAGAGTGAGCCTGTGGAGGCTGTAAAACAATACCGACTGAACGATTTGGAGAAACGTCGCGAGGTGTATGAGTCGATTTTTCGCTCCGAGATCCATGAGGCTCTGTTGAATCGCGGCGAACGACGCTTTTCCCATCAAGCTCTGCAAGGTAAATTGCATTAGTTGCCCAAATATTTTCTTTTTAAGGGTTGTTTTTGGTCATTTAGGAGCCATCCTCATAACGTTCTACCGGGACGAGCCACGGTTCAGTCAGCCTCATCAGATTCTCAACCTGCTCATGGACATCGACTGTCTCATTACGAAATGGAGATGTAAGTGTTGAAAATGCAATTTTTAAATTAAGCGGAATAACAGGAATGAGGGACGATGGGAATTTATTTGATGGGAAAACTCGTTGAAATGTGCGAAAAACTGAATCCCAATGTCGATATTGCGAGTTTATGCAGTTGGCGTCGCTTATATAATCGAATCGAGACTGCAGCGGGCACAATGGCCAAATTTTTGCGCCCTCGCTAAGCGTTTGGAACCGGTCGACTTCAGGAAACGTTTTTCAGTTTCCGTAATTAGGCGGGCAAAAATGGAAATTTTTGTAATTCAGTTTGCACCTTGGAACAGACTTGGATTTAGTTTGGGTTTACCGCGGCCGGTTTTTAATACGAAATTAGCTACATCGGGGTTTTGCCGTGTCGACGCGATTTTACCTTTGACGCCGACGACCGAAAGAGTTTACGCAAAGCCATACAAAATTTTATTAAAAACCGCAAACATTTCAATTTTTCAATAGTGTTTGAACTTAACGTGAATTTGAAGAAACCGCATAACATATAGTACGGTTAATCAAAAAATTGTAACTCCTAAACCAGTTGGGCTAGCAAACCTGAAGTTTCTGCACGATGAAGAGAAATACTGTCTTAAAAATTGAGTGAACTTTCGTTAAATGACGAACCTCGACTGATTTTCAGGAGATTTTCAGTTTGACGTAAATTTTATGAAACTGCGTGCTTTTACGGGCAGCTAAACAAGAAACCATAACCAACAAACCAGTTGGAGTCGCAACTTCAAGTTTTCGACACGGTCAAGAGACAGGGTTTCTCTAAAACCATGTGGAAATCTCATTGAATGCCGATTCTCTACTGATTTTTGAGAACCTTTTGAACTCGACGTTAATTTTAAGAAACCGCGTAGCTTGTAGTAGAGGTAAACAAAAAATAATAACTTCCAAACAAGTTGGAAAAGCAAATTAAATTCTCGACACAATATAGCCAAGTGTTTTTGCTAAATCCGAGTAAAATTTTGTTGAATGCCACTGATTTCTCAAAAGCTTTTGAACTTCACGCGAATTTCAAGAAACCGCATAACTTGTACTGCAGTTTACTAAACAATCACAACGCTCAAATCACTAGGAGTAGCAACTTGAAGTTTCGGGACAATAAAGACGATTATTGTGTCTAAAATTCCACGAAATGCATTGAATGGGGATCTTTGGCTGAGGTTGCAGAATATTTTGAACTTGGCGTTAATTTTAAGTAACTGCATGGCTTGTGTAGTTAAACAAAAAATAATAACTTCCAAACCAGATGGAGAGGCAACTTGTAGCTTTGGCACGATGAACAAAAATATCTTGAATTTTTTAAAAATCAACTGATGACAAGGATTTTAAATCAACTGATATTTTATTGAATGCCGATTTTCCATTGATTTTTCAGAAGTTTATGAACTGCTAAATTTGGATCCTCAACTGATTTTTAAGAAGCTGTTAAACTTGACCTGACTTTCACCAATCCGCATGGGTTGCAGTGCAGTTAAGCAAGCAACGATAACCCCCAAACCAATTGGAGTTGTTACTTAAAGTTTAAAGGATTTGTATAAAACTGGACAAAATCTGATTGAATGAAAACCCCCAACTGATTTTTGTAGAAGTTGTTGAAGTTGCGAATGCCAATCTTCCACTGATTTTTCAAAAGCTTTTGAACTCCACGTGAATTTCAAAAAACCGTATAACTTATACTGCAGTGTACTAAACAATCAGAACGCTCAAAGCGCTAGGAGTAGCAACTTGAAGTTTCGGGACAATAAAGACGATTATTTTGTGTAAAATTGCACTAAACTTTATTGAATGGGGATCTTTGGCTGAGGTTACAGAAGATTTTAAACTTGGCGTTAAGTTTAGGAAACCCAATGGCTTGTGGTGCAGTTAAACAAAAAATTATAACATCCAAACCAGATGGAGTGACAACTTTAGCTTTGGCACGATGAACAAAAAAGATTTGGCTTTAAATCAAGTCATATTTTATTGAATGCCGATTCTCCATTGATTTTTCAAAAGTATTTGAACTGGGCGTTAATTTAAAGTAACCGCATAATTTGTATGTAGTGCAGTTAAACAAAAAGTGATAGCTCTCAAAAGAGTTGGAGTAGCAACTTGGAGATTTGACACAGTCAAGGAGATCTAGAATTCTAAAGTTTTGTATAATATTCGAACGAATGCCTTTGAATTTCGACTCTCCACTGATTTTTTCGCAGCTTTCGAACTTGACGTGAATTTCAAGAAAACGCGTTGTTTATAGTGCAGTCTAATAAAAAATCATAACTTACAAACCAGGTGAAGTAGCAACTTGAAGCTTCGCCACTGTCAAACCGTTAATAAAATTAAATTTTCGACACAATAAAGCGAATGGTTTTTCCTAAATCCGAGTAGAATTTGGTTGAATACCAATCTTCCATTGATTTTTCAAAAATAACCGCTTAACTTGTAGTGCATCTATCCAAAAAATCCATCCAACTCCCAAACGAGTTCGACGAACAACTTGATATTTCAACAGGGTGAAGATATAGCTCCGGTCTAAGCCTGGACGAAATATCATTAAATTCCGATAGTCCACTGATTTTTCATCAGCTTTTCAACTTGACGTTAATTTAAAAAAACCGCGTAATTTGTAGTGCAATTAAACAAAAAATTATAACTTGCAACCTAGTTGAAAAGGGAACTTGCAATTGTAGCATCTACAAAATAAAGGCTTTCTTGACAACTGGGAAAAATTTAATTAAAAACTGAACATCGGCTGATTTTTCGGAAGTTTTTGAACTTTGCGTTAGTTTAAAGAACCCGTATAACTGGCAGTAGAGTTCAACAAAAACTAATAATTTCGTAACGAGTGCAAGTACAATAGCAACTGGCAGATTTGTGTCTTGACAGAGGATGAAGATTAGATGCGAGTGTATTTTCTTTGTGTAGATAACCACGTGCTAATGGTGCAGAGGATGATTGGTTCGTCCCAGCTGGGTACCGGCGGTTCTTCTGGATATCAGTATTTGCGCTCCACTTTGAGGTAATTGAGATTTTACGTTGCCACCAGTAAGCCACTCGAAAATCCATCAGAGCGCTCTAAGCGCTTTTTAATAATTTTCTAAGTAAAACTTTTCCACTTAAGTCTGAGCTGGGTTTTCATTAGAGCTTATTATCAATTTCAGCGACCGTTATAAAGTCTTTGTCGACCTGTTCAACTTGTCGACTTTTCTGATACCTCGCAGCCACATTCCGCATTTAACTGCGGATATGCGCAGCAAGCTTTGCCTTTGGAGGAATGGCGGGACAAACGACGTGCAGGAAAACGGGAAAACTGGCCTGGAAATTGAAGAGAATGGCTTTGAAGAGGACATCGTATGATAGCGGTTTTCGGCTCGTCCTACTGATCTGATTTCCAGTTTAAGAACGGGGCACTTTTACCAGAAAACATTGAAGACGCTTTCGAGGACACGTAGCTTTCTTACACCGCATTCAGCTGTTATTAATGGAATATATTTGATTCGTTTGGTCAAAGAGGTCAAGCGCATTTATTCCGCGGTTTTGATTAATTGCCAATTCCCAAAATCTTCCCGTTGTCCTGACTTAAATTATTCTGGATCAAATCTGGAACGTGCAGATACATACTCGATGCCACTGAAACTCCAGTTTTCGGTATTTTTCAACCACAAATCCTTTTCGTTTCTTATTGTTGTTCTTGCATACAGTAATGAAATTCCTGCTGCCATAAATCAGCAAATCCGAGCTTTATTTCGTTTGTTGCCGTCTTGCTGATATGAGATTGGGGCACATGTGTAGCACACGAAAACTAGCCGGCAAAGCAGTTTTTGATTCATCTAAAAATCCATTTCTGATGTCGTTCAAGGTTCGGATTTAATCAAGCAAAGAGGCTGATAAAAGTTCGCCGTCCTGATTTTTTTTACACATTCTACTGGGACATTCGTCCAAATTAGATTCGTAGTAAACTTTCCGGGAAAATTGCCCGCTTTGTGAACCGTGGTAATAAATCGCCTCTTATGTTACGTGTTGATTCTGAAATATTGGAAATTTCGAACGAAGACGTGCCCGTTCAGTGCAATAATGGACCGTAATTGGGTCGAGATGTTTCAATTAGTTTAAGAGGTGTGAGCGTGTGAGAGAATTCGTCAGGGATTTGATTAAGGCGGTTAATATCGGGAAGAGAAGGGCCTGGTAAAAGCTCCATAGTGGATATTAGACAAAATGTTTAACGACTTTGGACGGAGCAAAAAATTGTTGTTTCATTATCTTCCGGTTCAAGAAATGGGCCATAAATGGAATGCCATATTGTTTTTGACTTCTTAGAAAGAGAAAAACAAAAATAAACTTTTTAGTTTAGGATCCTGAGGCTTTGAAACATTGAAAAGTTTTGATACTTTATAGACACATGCGTTGGCAAAACAAACTCATAAATGAAAATGGTATCAGCTTCAGATCCCGAACAGTCGATATGGCACCACTCTTAAAACAGAATGCGTTCAATCCACTTTTTCCCTTTCCTATCACCCACCGAAAAAAATTTCTTTGCAATAGAAACAGGAAGCATTATTTTCCTGTGGTCTGTCTGTTCCAAGATCCTTCCTGCCAGTATCCTGAGAAGATTGATAGATAGTTAGAAAAATTTATTAACATCAAACATTACATATGACAACACATGGTCTTTGAAATTAACAGATCCTGACTCTGAGAAGGAATCTTGAATGACCGCTTTCTTACAGCCTTTCCAGGCGCTCTTTCTCTTTGCCTTGAAGGTTAGCACTAGTAAAATGTTCTCGGGTCCAATAAATCCCTTGCATCTTCAATGTTGGCGGAAGTGTTTTCCACTGCCGTCAACGGACATCGCTATCTGCAAAAACATGACGATTTGGAGAAACTACTCCTGTTTTTTTAGACCCAGCTTTCCAGATAAAGTGCGTGACTGTTCTTTGATTCGATTTCACAAATAATATATGCGCAAAATGTTGCACGGTTTGCCATTTTTTCACTTTTCAAATGAAATACTCGGACCGTCGAATAAAAACGTGGATTTGAATACATCCGCTAGCACCCCTTTTCAATCGACTATTGGCATTTTTTGTGGAGAGGGTTAGAATGGTGAAACCAAACTTCTTGCTGCGCTCATACACAAGACTGTGATTTTCTGGGAGCATTCGCTTGTGGTTTCTGCGCTTTTACAAACTTGCAGCATCTGAAAGCTCCATGATTTCTTCGCTTTGAATTTGAAAATCGTCTATTTATTTTTCTCGTTCTCAGGTCAAGAACGTGGAAGGTTTCAAGAAATGAACTTCTGCGATAAAAATCGATCGTAGTTCCAACGCTTTGACAAACTTATGTCATCTGAAACCAGAAGCTGGAAGCTCGAATTCACCGGTTTTTTGATGTGTTTCTTTTAATTTGAACGTCGGGAGTTGATTAGCAATGTTCTGAAGAGAAGAAAAGTGGATAATTGCAAAAAATAATCTTCACCAGTGCAGTTAGGCCGTAGTTCCAACCCTTTTCCAAACTTCCGGCATGCGAAAGCAGCGTTTGAGAACTCGAAATCTCCGATATCTGTTTTTTAAAAGTCGGCGTTTAATTGAGGTCGTACTGGAGGGAATAATGTGGAGGGTTTTAAAAAACGAACTTTTCCAGTATCATTCCGAGAGCTGCTCTTGACATTCCAAAATCCATGATTTTGTCGCATTTACGTAATTTGAAAATTGTCGATTTATTTGGATTGTTGCTCAGTGAAGAACGTGGAAGGTTTCAAGAAACGAACTTCCCCGGTGAAATTCGACCGAAGGTCCAACGTCTATAAGCTTTGACGCTGCTGAAAGGCAAAAATCTATATTTTTTTTTGTTGCAGCAAAATAACGTTGACGTGTGTGTAAAACGTTCTAACGGTTTTACCAATACCCGGAATTTGTAAGCTACGTGTGATCACTCGAAATCCACACTTTTATTCGTTTTTTTACATCAAAATCGACCTTAGATTAGGATTCTTCTGAAGGGAAGAGTGTGGAGGGTTGTAGTGCCAGACAGGAACCCGGACCGGAACCGATATGGACCCAAAACTGGAACGGAACCGATTTGATATTAGCATACTGTTTCGGTGTTTTTTCGGTTCTGCTTGTAACGTTTGAATTTTAGAGGAACAATTATTTGTTAGGACCAACCGACTTTTCAATCGAAAAGAATAACCATACGTGTATACGCTATTTTTAAAATTCTTTTTTAAGTTGAATTATTTTAATTTTTCGATCACCAACAAAGTAACATTTGAAATTGAAATGTTGGACAAAAGCAACTCCTCAAAAGATGGTGAAGACATGAACCAGGAAGAACAATGTTTAAAAGGAAATAAGAGTGAAAGAAGAGGAATTGACGAAGTTGTGGACCTGAGTGAAAACGGAAAGAAGAGAAAAGCGCTAAAGTCAGAAAATTCATTGACAAATCACTTTTCAGTCTTTATTACAATGTTGTTCCATTTAATGTTACCTGAATTTCAATCCTTGTGTGGCGTTGCTAGTTCTCCTACCCTCCTACCCCCGACCATACAACCAGCCGAAGTACCGTATGAAGCAGTGGATCGTTTGCGCATCTTTTATCTTGTATAATACAACAAGCAAGGAAAAAGATAGTGAGATTCCTAATTAGAGTATCTTTGTCCTCGTTCGTTGTTATATATAGATTTTGGAACCGAAATGAATCGAAAAAAAACCGGAACCGGAACGGAACCGAATTGGAAATTATTTTCTAAACCGGAACAGTAACGGAACCTAAATTTAAAATTTTTCCTTGGACCGAAACCAGAACGGAACAGTTATTTCGTTTCGGTCCGGGTCCTTGGTGCCAGTAGCCAGCGCTTTTACAAACTTCCGGCGTCTGGCAGTTGCACTTAAAAGCCTGAAATCTACGTTCTTTTTCAGTTTTTTAATATTTCAAAATTCCCCTTTGATTAGGCTTGTTTTGAAGGGAAGAGTGCAGAGGGTTTGGATTCGGAAACTTTTCCGAGACCATTCGCTCGTGGTTCTTGCGCTTTTACAAACTTCCGGCATTCGAAAGCTGTATCTGATCGTCTGAAATATACACTTTTTTGATTTGTTTATTAATTTAAAAAACTGATGAAGGGTGTCGACGTTTTCAAAAACAAACTTTTCCTATATTAATTACCTGGAGTTTCAGGGCTTTTACAATTTTTTATCATTTGAAAGCCGCATTGGAAAGACCAAAATCTAAAAATTATTCGCTTTTTGTAATTTGGCATTCATCGCTTTATTCCAATCGTTACCAGTTGCAGAACGTGGACGGTTTAAAAAATATGAACTTCTGCTGTGAAATTCGATCGTAGTTCTAACGCTTTTGCAAACTTTCGGTATCGGTAAGCTGTGTCTGAACGCCCGCAAACTACGCTTTTTTTCGCGGTTTATATTTCCAAATTGAACTTTGGTCTTCTTCTGAAAGGAAGAGTGAAAGGGGTTGCAACAAACGAATTTTGCCGATATTTTTCGGTCTGTAGTTTCAGCGCTTTTACAAACCTGTGGAATGACATGGATCGCATCTATTATTTCTGCAGTTAGCTGTAATTTGAATTGAAATCATCGCTTTATTTGGACCGCTTCAAAGAGAAGAACGTGGAGGCTCTCAAAAAATTAAGTTTTCCGTAGGATTCGGCCATAGTTTCAACGATTTTACAAACTTCGGACATCCGGTAGTAGCGTCTGACATCCTCAAATCCACGATATCTTTGCTTTTTTGAAATTTGAAAATCGCCAACGTCTTCGATAAAATTCAACAGTAGTTCCATCGCTTTTAACAACTTTCGCCATCTGAAAGCCGATTCTGAAGGCTCGAATTCTACGGTTTTTCCGTTTTTTTATTTTAATTTTAACGTCAGCCTTTGATTAAGATTGTTCTGAAGAGAAAAACTTCAAAAAATTCCGGTATCTGAAATCTGAAATTGTAGAATCTGGAGCTGCGTCTGAAAGCTTGAAATCTCTGCTTTGCTCGCTTTTCGAACATTTTAATATCTGCTCTTAATTGGGTTTATTCTTGGGTGAAGAGTGTGAAAGGTTCGAAATAACGAACTCTTCCGCGTAAATTCAACAAACAGATTTTCCGCCTGTAGTTCTAGCGCCTTTGCAAACTTCTCGTATGGCATGGATTGTATTTGAAATATGGATCTGAAATCCCAAAACCAGTGCAATCGTTGCAAAGAGAGGAGCTTTTCAAAAAACTAAATTTTGCGGTGAATTCGGCAGTAGTTCCAAGGCTTTTACACATTTTCGGCATCTGATGACTCTTAATAATCACACGATTTTTGGATGAGGCGGAATCAACTAATCGCAGTGAAGCATTGGTTCGGTTCGTAATTGAAAAATTAAAAAATTGGCGGAAAAATGCACCAACATTTTTTGTGCATTATTGTAGCGCCGAAAATGTGTGCCTTTGCAAAAGAACAGACTTTCTTTATCTCTGTACCTCTGTTATACGTAAACATAAAAAACCGCTTCGATTCATCATTCTGATATGTAAATCGAATCCTTGGTTATCGATTCCTGGAACTTCGACTCCGAAATCTCAAGTAAATGCTGAGAAATCATCTTTAGAAGTGTCTGATGTAAAAATAAAAACCTGAACAGAAACACTGCGAAGTTTAAAAATTCATTCTGATGGCACCAATTTCTTGAATGGAACAAAGTTTTTACCCCAAGTAACACATTTCTTGCTCTCTCCGGCAGAGGCGTAGCGAGGGGTGGGCAAGGGGGTGCATCGTGCCCCGGGCGCCACCCACAAAGGGGCGCCAAATTGCCCGCAAAACAAAAAATTTATGGGTTGAATTAATTTGAATGAGGGNTGCTAAAAAGGTATTGTGCCCCGGGCGCGAATTAAGCTTGCTACGACACTGCTATCCAGTTCTGAAACCGCCATTCGGATATCTCAACAGATTTTCTAGAAATCGTCTTTATAATTGTATGAGTAAAAAAAACAACCGTGCAAAAAATCGCCGAAGTTTAAAAATTCATTCTAAGGGAAGCAAGGCTTTGAGCGCAAACAAATTTAGACCACAAGTACAGTGAATCTTTCGCGATCCATCACTGAAACCCTTATTTCGATATCTCCACTAATTGCTCAGCAATCGTCTCTAGAAGTGTATGGCGTAAAAATGAGAAACCGGGCACAAAGATTCCAAAATTTAAAAATTAATTCTGATCAGACCAGCACCTTGAATTTGAACCAAATTTTCAAGATATGTAGAACCAAGTTTTTGCGATCAAGTAAACACCCTTATATTTATAAACTCAACTGGTTGCTCAGAAATAGTATTTTGAACTGTATGATGTAAAACTGAAAAAAATGGCAAAATCACTCCAACGTTTAGAAATTAATTCTAAAGATACCTGTGCCTTCAATGGGACCAACTTTACACAGCTCAAGTAAACTTAATCTTTCGCTATCCAGTTCTGAAATCCCCACTTCGATATTTCAACCGACTTCCTAGAAATCGTTGTAGAAATGTATGATGCCAAATGAAAAACCGCGCAAAACAGCTTGAAAGTTTGAAAATGTATTCCAATGATAGCAGTGCCTTGAAACGAACCAAATTCACCTCACAAGTAATCCGAATCCTTGGTTATCGAGTCCTGGAACTCTTACTCCGAAATGTCAAGTAATTTCTRCAAAATCATCTTTAGAAGTGTCTGATGTAAAATTAAAAACCTGAACAAAAACACCATAAAAATGCATTCTGCTGACACCTTGAATTCCTTGAATGGAACCAAATTTTTACCTCAAGTTGTATGATTAAAAAACACCCGCCCAAGAAATCTCCGAAGTTTTAAAATTCATTCTAATGGAATGAGTGCTTTGCGCGGAAACAAATTTAGACCACCACTACAGTGAATCTTTTGCTATCCAGCACTGAAACCCTTATTTCGATACCTCAATTAATTGCTCAGAAATCGTCTTGAAAAATGTATGATGTAAAAAATAAAAACAGCGCAAAAGATTTCCGAAGTTTGCATGACACCAAATTTACACAATTCAAGTAAACTGAATCGTTCACTATTAAGTTCTGAAAAACTGATTCCGATATCTCAACCGACTTCCTAGAAATGGTCTTTAGAAATGTATGATGAAAAAATGTAAAACCGTGCAAAAAATCTCCAAAGTTTGAAAATTAATTCCAATAGCATCAGCGTCTTGAATGGAACCCAGTTTACACCACTACTAAGTCTAATCTTTCGTTATCGATTCCTTGAGCCCTTATTTCAATATCTCAACTGAATACTCAGAAATCGTTTATAGAAATGTATGATGCAAAAAAGATAAACCGCGCAAAAAATCTCCGAAGTTTGAAAATTTCTTCTAATGGCAGCACTGCCTTTGATTTAAATAAATTTACACCACAACTAAACTGATTCTTTCGTTATCCAGTCCTGATGCACATATTCCGAAATCTCAACTGATTACTAGAAAATCGTATTTAGAAATGTTTGAAGTAAAAATGAAAAACCGCCCAAAAAATCCCCGAATTTTGAAAATTTATTCTAATGGAGGCAGCACTTTGAACGAAACCAAATTTCCACAAGATGTAACGTGAGGCTTTTGTTATCGGGTGCTGAAACCCCCGTGTCGACGCCTTAACTGATTGCGCAGAAATTGTCTTTAGAAGAGCAGGAAGCAAAAATGAAATCCCCGCAAAAGCTCCTCTAAGTTCAATAACATATTGGACTTCGAATGGGTCGGTCTCATCCACGTTGAATCCTCTATCAGCAGCATATTCGTGTTTTTCAAATTCTGCCTCCAAAATATAAAAATAGTGCTTCACGTTTTTTTTTTTCATTAAAATCGTTGGCTCTATTTGGAAGAACGCCCCAGTTGACTTTCTTAAAAAAAATCTGTCCTTATGCAGCCTCAGCAAGAAATCCAACCATTTTCCTGCAGCACTTATGCACAGTATGTTTGAAAAATTGTTGAAAATCTGCATTATTTTTTGCCATCAGAAGAAGATCTGCGAATTGCTCTTCCAACAGTTTTCGTTCAGCAGCCTGGACTAGTGTTGCATCTCTTAATTATTTATTACCGAATACACAAACCTTGTCTTCTTTTCTCCATTTTTTACCATCCATAGTATTTTTTGCAAAAATAAATTGATGATGAATTTGTGGGTAATGTTATCAGAAAGCGCTTAAGGTTTTTTTTTTTGCCAAAAAACTAAAAAAAAACGAAGAATGATCTAATATGGAATATTCCAAAATTGTAACAAGTTCCATATACTTAAAGTATTTTAGTATTTGAGTGTTTAGAAGTAGTCAATCTTAGATTTCAATATCAGAAACTTATGTTATAGAACCACAAAATGCATTCCAGTGTTCATTCTTACTAGAATTTTATTGATTAATTTGAAACTTAGCTTTATTTCAAAATTAAAACAACTGTTTAATATGGATTTAAATTGTGACCGAACCTAACTGTAGACTGACTTTAAATTGAATTCTTATAACTTCTGACCAAACATCTAATCACTGAATTCTCGGTTCTGCTGAGGCTTCTTTTATAGGTAAATTATCCTAATCCTAGCAGAAACGATGCTACGTCTTAATTTATAAGAATAGTCGGCATAAGGGGCCATATAATTCTAGGTACCACAAAACTTTAATACATACCTCAAATAGTCTGCGATGTCGCGTGAAAACAAAGCGCACTCAACATAAGCAAAATATTTATGAACCACTGCTAGAAATCACATTTTACTGGAAGATCGTATCGGTGATGTTGTTGAGGTGCTGCCACTTCGGTTTGCTCATTTTTTTGAGTGAACGCGGGTGTTTGGATAAGAGGGCACTTCCGAGTGATTTTATTTACAAACGCCCGGCTCTAGGTTACATTATTATGTAAATTCGATCATTTTTGGTTAATTAGCTATAGAGAGACGTGCCCAAGACTACACTGGCGGATTTAGTTTAACGCGAAAGTGAATCCATTAATGGCGCACTCCGAGCAATCGGGCTTAAGCCAAACTTGCAAAATACATCGACTTTATTTAAAACACCAATTTGTAACAGTCAACGTGAACAGTTAATTCTCCGAGCACCGCTGGTTACTGTACTTCAAGTCCACTTGGCAGTCGCTGCCCTCCATGCGAAAGTTGGCTCTGTATCTGGAGCGTTTGAAGCAGCTGAACAGCTTCAAGAAGCTTTTACGAAAGCCGCCGTTCATGAAGCAGTAGGTGATGGGATTGCAGCAGCTGGACGTGTAAGCTAGCAGTTGCAACAGGCTGATCCCAGTGTAGCCGATTGTGTCGTACACATATTGACCAGTGAAGAGGACGATGGTATTGACGGTGTAGAGCGGCGACCAGCAGACGAAGAATTCCAGAACAACCACGCACAACATCTTGATGACGCGCTTCTTGTTGCAGAGGCTGCGTTCCGCATTGGTGCGCCGCAATCCGCTCACCAGCCTCTTGGAGCTGTTGGAGCCGACGGGGGAGTTGGATTCGTCCGACCAGTTACGGAGAGTGGTCCAGTTCGATTGCTGCCTGCTCATGTTCGTTTTGTTCTTGATTCTCCAACTGGTCCTCGAGTTCATCTGCAAGTTCACGTAGATCTCCATTGTGGAGCCTGAAATTGCAGCTGGTTGGGTTACAATCCAACAAGGTTCGGGTGCAACCTGGTAGTTCATTTACCAGTGGAACGTGAAGCCCTTTCGGTTTTAATGCCCTTCCACAGAGTACGGATGATCAAGGAGTAGGTAGCGGCCAACACAAGCAGAGGAAACACCATCAGCACGATGTCCAGCACCAGATTGAAAGCCTTCTCGTACTCCAACGATGCCCAGTTCTCCCTGCATTTGCGGTTGCCTGGAAAGCGCAAAATTAATCCTGAAGCACCCGATTCAATTTTGACGCATTCTTGCCTTTGATGGTGGGTTTCAGCTCGCTGAGGAACGCGATCGGGAGCATGCAGATGAAGCTGCAAATCCAGATTCCCAGGATAGTTTTGTAGGCATGGCTGAGCGTTTGCCAGGCCAGAGAGCGCAGAGGATGGCAGATGGCATAGTAGCGTTCAACTGAGATTGCCACTAGCGTCCAAGCGCTTACCGCCACCAAACAGGCTGAAACATCCATGCATGATATTCAAATTTTGCTTTCTGGATTAAAACTGCTCGAATTTCCTCAGTCATATTGTTATGATTGAATCGAATTTTCAATTCTCTATCGAACGATGCCAAAACGGATTCTGCAGCTCAAGTGGGGATTGAGAAACTTTGGAAAAAACAGCGTCATGTTTGAGTCGATTTTGCAACTCGAAAAACAAACACGCAAATTTAAAACTTCTTGAAATTGAGACTTTTGGAGAAAAGTGCCAACATTTTCTTATCGATGGGTCATTTTTTAAAAAGGCCATTTGGTTCTCTCTCGACTGATGTAAAAATTAGCGTTCTTGCTGATTCTGCTTCTGAAAAGTGCGCAAAAACAGGATGGACAACATAAAATTTTGGCAAAATCTTGCACCTAAGTGACTGATAATCAAATTTCGTTTTCTGGGTCAAAACTACTCCAATTTCCTCACTCATGTTTTTATGACTGAATAGAATTTTCAACTCTCTATCCAAGGGTTGCCAAACAAATTCTGTGGCTCAAATTGGAGTTGAGACACCTTCAAAAAAGCAGTGTCATGGTTGAGTCGACTTTGCAACTAAAAAATAATAAAATAGTAAAATATGTAAATAAAGCCTTGGGCTGCGATAATGAAGAAATCGACATTGTCTCACAGCTATAGTGGCATCAGACTGCATAGTTAAACTTGAGAATCAAACATTTGAAGCTGCACTGATTAGAAAGGGGGTTTATTTTTTGGGTTTAATAGGCAGCATTTTTGAGGGAGCTTTGGAAGAAAGCCAGAAACCTAAGGTATATTGCACCTCGATCCCTTCGAATAATGTTGTGTTTTTGCCGGAATCCGCAACCTGGCAGCCACAAAAAGCTACAATTTTCATCCGCTCGTCTGGCTCTAATCGAATTAAATGATAAATTAAAGTTTGCGAATTTGGGGTGGAGGAGAGCACTCCGCACTCCATAGGGCATTGAAGTTTATCGAATTTTACAGTACAACGACAACAAGAGTTTCTTTGGTATTATCGGGCGTCGTTTAAACTTGATTATTAGGGGGGATTTTGCGAGTTTGCAGACAATCAGACGGTGTCTTTGATCTGTGACGGTCGGAAAATGCAAGGGTGGCGTGAATATTAAAATGCGAGTTTGTTGGTTTTGCAGCGGCAAACTGATGGTAATTTTTCGGTTGGAGGATTTTTCAATTAAATCGCTAAAACACTACGTCCCAGCACTCAAAACGCTATTGAGATACTCAACTGTACAGTTTACCTATTTTGAACTCCTGTCTCTCCAGTCGATTCTTAAACTGCACAATGAGTGTGAAATGTAAACGTGCCTGTCCTCACTGCCACTCAATGTAGGTCGCGGGTCTTTTGCATCCTTTACCGACCCTTCCAAAGCGTGAACATTGTGGCGGTTTTGCAAATTCCTGCAGGTCAAGGATGCACTTTGAGCAGTGTGGGATGATGCAGTGGCAGGCAAATTGCAGCCATTATTCTCTTGGCGCGACTGTTTAGGAAAGTTTTTCCTGCAGTAATGAGTTTTGCTACATTTTCAATTAAATTTTGCTCACGGTAAAACGCGTCCTTTTCCAGCCAGTTGGAGATTTCGGTTGACTAATTATTTAGGACAAAGACTATAAATTGAATAGTGCGGTCGACGATTATCCTGCGGCTTGAGCTGGTTTTGTCTAAACAACTGGCACCGCATATGGCCAGCCAGCACTACATAAAAGCGCTTATATTTATGTAGCTCACCTGCCTGAACTAAGCCCATCAATCACAGCGCGGCTAATCCACACCAAACAAATCAATGCGATTTAGTACATTTCGTTTAAATCTGGTTTTCCAAATTAGGGCCGTTTAATCGTTATGCAAATTGTAAAGTTGGTTCAATCAATATCCTAATTTATTGTAGAGATTCGTGGTCAGTTTCTTTGTCCATTTCAGCGGTACTAATTTACCTAATTTTGAATTACGTACGAATACAAATTTTGCACACAAGCCTCTACAGAAAAGAAGAGATCAACGCGTTCAGGCAGTTTTGCATAAAGAAACGGGTATATTTACCTACACATTTGTTTCAAATCTTATGTAAATTTCAATTACTTTTTACGTTTACAAATACGATAATTTGGACGATAATTACAACACCTTGTCCTCAAATTTCTCAATTTTGTGTCTAAAAACATCGGAGAAATTGTTGATTAATCCGATACCACCATAAAAATGCGAATTTTCATCGTTAAAGCCGAACAACCAATTTCCTATTAAAATGTGTTTTTCCACCCTTAAAGCAGCGTATTTTCTCTTTCCAGTGATATTATGAGTCGGGGTGTGCGATTTTGGGCGCTTTCTTGTCAAATTTTTGAAAAATTTGTGTTTGCCCACGGCCAATTGCCTCGTCTTAGTAACTGAAAAAATAATGAAAATTCTCAAAAAATCCCTATCAAAGTGGGTTTCACCTCACTGAGAGAAGCCGATTTTTTTCGAGTTATGTCATGTGTCGCATTCAAAAATTTTTGTTTTTTTCTTGACGAATTTTTTATGAATCCGTGTAGCGGAATTAATCCGTGTTCGTGTGTGTGTGAATCCAACGAGCAATCGCGATTTAGTGGATATTACTCCTAGAAAATTCTTATTAAAGTGATGTTTTCCTCATTTAAATCCGCAGATTTTGCCCTTCGAGTGATACTGTGGGCAGGTCTGATACATTTTTGTCTTTTCCATGACAATTTTTTTAAAATCCGTCTATCTATACCAACGGTCAATCGCTTCCTCTTAGTAACAGGAAATATTCTGGAAACTACTGGATATCTAAAAAAATCCTGAAAACTCCTAGAAATTTCTTATGAGTGAATTTTTCCTCATTGAAAGCAGCCGATTTTCTCTTTCAAGTCATGTTATGGGCCGCATTCAGGAATTTTTTGTTTTTCCTTGATCAATTTTTGAAAAATCCGTGTTGTCCAACGATCAATCGATTCGATTTAGAAATTCTGACAAAATCATGAAAACTCGCAGAAATTTCCTAATAAATTGAGGTTTTCCTCACTTAAAGCCGCAGATTTTCCTTTTCGAGTGATACGTGATACTCTAGGCAGACTTGATACATTTTTAGTTTTTCCATGACAATTTTTTTTAAATACGTCTATCTGTACCAACGGCCAATCGCTTCCCCTTAGTAACTGGAAATTTCAGATTCAAGTGAGTTTTTCCTCACTTAAAGCAGCCGATTTTTCTTTTCAAATAATGGTATGGGCCGTATTCAGTAGGTTTTGGTTTTTCCTTAATGAATTTTTGAAAAACTCGTCGTTACCAACCGCCTTAGTAACTGAAAAAATCATCGAAACTTCCTATAAACGTGAGTTTTTCACAAAAGTCAGCCAGAATTTTGACGATCAAATAAATCGTCTCCGAAAGTAATTAAAAAAATGCAATAGTCGCTACTGATATTACTTTTTCTAAAATGGAATCGATTTGAACTTTCTATGTGAGTTTGGCAAGTGAACTTAAGGGCAATTGCCCTTCCGCATCTACTCCACTTTCCGAACAGTTTCGGTCGAGATACATAGAAGATCGCTTTGTAATCCGGCAGCGATAGTTTAATTTCCTCCACGTGGAAGAAATCATGGATAATCGATAATATTTCCGAATAATCTCGGGCAAATCTTAACGACTGGAGTCGAGGAATTTATGGATGCTTTTTGTCTTCTGGCTCTTGTCGAGATTTATCAACAAGAGGAAATAAAAAAAAACGTTTAGCTGCACGAATTTGTCCCAATTCGTTCAAATGCCGCTTTGCCAGCGAGAGATGACCCGTATAAGATAATAATCAAGGGGTAGTTGTTTTCAAGTGAAACTCATCCGGATTTACGTTGTAGTCAGTTGGTTATTTTTGATTTTATCGAATTAAAATCCACGTTCTAAAATTGAAGACCTAAAAAGTCTGAAAATTGGAGTTATACAATGTCTAGAAATATTAAGAAGTCATAGCATGCCACTGTTCCCCTTCGCTTTCAATCCCTGCCACATTCTTCTCAATATAAACAGACTTAGGTAACATGTCGATCTATCAGGAGATATTTGCAGGAATTTTCCATAATTTCAAGCACGCATCGAATTCGTATTATTTCACCTCACTAAATCCGTCCAAAAACATCAGCACGAAGCGGCGCCATCCAGATTAACTGGATGCTCGATCAGATTTGCCTATTTCGGATGAATAACACTTTGCGTAGCAGTATTTGAATGAGCCACCTGAAAATTGTTTAGCCCATTCAATGAAACCTCTACAGCTTGATCAGCTTCTAGTACAAATAGCAAATTCGCGATTTCTTGTTAACGTCCTAGAATCCTTGGGTGTCTTTCCCGACACTTTTATAGAGTCAGTCATTATCAAAAAAGCAGTGTAAGTAGGTGTTTTTATCATTAACACTTGCAAAGAAACCCCATAAAGGTATCGAAAATTGTACTTGAAACACTTGGAAAACCATTGGCAAATAAACTAATTTTAACCACCTTGAATGATTTAACTCCAAACCGAAAAAGCTCCGAGGTTTCTGAAAAAGTTGAAATTATTTTAGTTAGTTTATACTTACTTTCTGTATTCTATTTAGACAGTTTTAGTTTACACATATAATATTTTCCATTGGAAGTGGCGCCGCTTTTCGCGTTTTTGCACGCACTGATGCATTGAACTTTAAATTGTCTGGAAATCTCAGCTTTTCCACCTGCGTTCTCCTGGGACAAAAGTTTGTCGAAAGTTTTCTGCACTGAGAAAACGAAAGAAGCGCCAGAGTGTGCAGATTATTGATAAATGAGGTTTTTCACTTGATTCAACATTCGTTCAAAGCACAACTTAACTATCACACTGCTGCACACTCAATTTGCTTATTTGTGTGGCAGCACTAGCGTGCCATGAGATGCCCTTCTTTCGTGATCTATCGCAGTTATCGGTTAATCTCAGAGTTTCATCACGGCACACTCGGATCGTTGCACGT